CAATATATTCTATATAATAACACACCATGCTATCGATTTTTTTTTCATAATTTAGCGTCGGATAATTGCTCATTTTATTAAGTCTTTGTTGTTACGATCATTAAACTGACTAATATAATTAATATCAAATACCTCATTTGAAACACTCCTTAATTCTTTCTTTCGTTAGCCTTCTCTTTCATTATGCTTTTATACTTCATTGTTCTTATATAAACCATATACCATATGTCACAATACATTTTTGAAAATAAAACAAAATGTACAAGTAAAGAATGTGTAGAAAAGTGAAAAATGAATGACAATAAGAACAACTTAATTGGGAGTTCTCGAGTTAACTTTTCAAGTATTTACTTTTTTCTAATCCGACCAACAACGTCGCAAATATTGAAAAGTGCCGACACAAATAATACTGAAAAAAAAAGTTGGCCCAACTCTCTCTTAGGTATTGTAACAACAACTGTTTATTTTTGAGATTCTGAAAAAAAAAAGTTATAATACCAAATGGACTGGGTGAGGGACGCGGACGAAAACTTTACTCCAATCAAAGAAAACGGCGTTGATTCTTATTGAGGGTAGTACTCCAATCACATAATATCAGACAAAGCTGTGGTACAAAACCGACCATTTACAACTGTGTTGAATTGACAACAAGAAACCGCATAGATAATAAAATATGTGAGCAGATTATTTTAAGAGGTTTTCCCACAAATTAGTAAAAGGAAATTGGCCCAAAATTATATATGCAATTGATATCACCTGACTTAAATACTGAAAAGAGATAAAATAGTTTGCCAGAGGCTCTTTTATGTAAGCAGCAGCACTAGTAGACTTGCCGTAAGTCCCTTATAATTATTATTGTTAATTTTTACACAGATAAGAAAAAATCCGAAAAAAAAAAAAACAGAAATCGAGTAATTGATGCCAAATAATTTAGGTATGGCGTGCAATACGCACAGTATAGAGTGGAACCCAGGCTACAACACTGGCAACCACTAAAGATGTTAAGTCGCCAGACCCAGGAACACCTCCAAGCTTATGAGCATGTAGAGCACCTCTTCTGTGGTGGTAGCCATCCTCAATAAATAAAACCAAATGGTCATAACATTTAATGATTTTTCCCTCATTAGGCTAAAGACAGTGTCATTGTGTAGGAAAATGGAAGATAAAAAACAAAAAATGCATTTGCAATAATTTAGCTCATTTACTACGGAACCTTTTATACGGAGAGAGATAACATATCCCGCTATCCTTTGCAGGATCCAGGGATCCTGTGACAAACTCTTCCAGGCCCCTATGTTCCCCTATGTTTCTTGCATAGGGGATCTGGAAAAGGACGTGACCTAGTTGGCGCTATACCCACGGAGCTCGAAAATTCGTTTTCGTTTGCTCCCCACCGTTTGCATTTTAGATATATGGTGTTTTTTTTCTCTGCTACATACCATTTACAGCATACGATGTTGCAGCAGGATACTAGATGAAGAATTCTTTTACGTTTGCTTTTCTTACAGCCTTGCGATTCACATTCACTAGTTTATCTTCCTTCTCCACAATCTCGGACCATTTATCCCAAAAAAAGAACTCCATCATTTAGAATTCCTGCTTTAAAAAAGCTCCTAGCCGGCCCGCCTTTGTCGGAATTTCGAGAGTCACTGCAAAGAGGAACCAAGACGACTTTTGTCCTCCTTACCCCCCTCCACTACATTCACCTGATCATCTTGTATACTATCATAGAGTGTTATGCCGTTTCCAACACTCGTAGTTGGCCTCCATTATGGTCGAGCACAATGGAGGCATGTCTGGAGCTTTAAAATATAACCTTGCCTCAGAATTGAGGCCCCGCCAAGCCAATAACTCCTTTTTTGGTCTTCCATAAGGATATTGGTAAAATATTTTTGTGTTTTTAATTCTAATTTCGTCGGAATTGATGAAAACTCCCTAAAATGTGCAATTTATAGAGAAAATTGGCCTACCGTAATAAGAAATGCGCGCAAAGAATTTGAGAATTTTAGGCACTTTCAGAGGATGTATTTGTCTTATCTTATTTCTAATATAGGCCACACACGTGTGTTTGAAACTAAATATATGCATGTTCATCATGGTTTAATTTATTACAAACATATTCTTTTACCATCTACACATTGAGGCCCTTCTTTTAGGTTAAAACGATCTATCTTAAATTTGTCTTTTTGGAGTTTGGGACAATTATGTGTTTAAATAACTTAAAAAGGAAAAAACTAAAAAAGCCCTAAAAAATGCGCGCTAAGAACTCCCTAAAATGTGCAATTTATAGGGGAAATTGGCCTACCGTAACAAGA